CAAAGCTGTAATAGTTACCTGGAGATGGGATGTGTCAATTAACTGATACGAATCAAGAAGCCAGAGGAAAATGAGACTCACCACGAGGAACTTGGAAAACACAACCCTTTCCGGCACTAAACTGGACACCTGAGATATCCACTTGAACACGCCCGTGACAGACATAAAAGACCATATGCATTTTCTTGGAGTTCTTGGGTTTCTTGACTCCATCAGGTGGGAGCTCCACAACTCCAGATCCGATGAAAGACGAGCTAAGCAGCTTCGCAAATCGGAATGTTGAGTCTTTGACTTCTCTGGTTTCAATTCCGGAGGGAGCATATGCAATGTCTGTATCAAGATAGACTTAGTAAAGGAACCAACTACGAAGGGGTTGGGGGTTCATACCTAGCACTTCCTCCTCCTTCGAACTCGTCTGTGTTTTCCCGTCCCATTTGAGGGTGTAGCCATGAAGAACACCGCCTTCCTTCTCCCAGAGATCAACATCCTCATCCTCGTCTGAAGTGTCATCCTTTTGTTTCTTAGACTTAGACTTGTGGGACGTTGAGCGTTTCCCCTTCTTCTTCTTCTTTTCAGGCTCTTGCTCCTCGGTGCGAATGACTTCTTTGATGGTTGAAAGAGGATATCGATGTCCCTCGGCTGCCTCCCCATCACCGAAGACGCACCGTTCATTGCGCCAGTATGCTAGTGGTCGGACCGAAACTCGCCCAGATCGAGTGTGAGTCGCGCTGTTGTCGGTAGGATTTTCACGTTTGAGGATATACAAACTTCGGCCTTTCAAAGGCCCTGTGCGGTTGGCGTAATTCTCAACCACTCGATCCAATTCCGGTTCCAAAGGTTCACGCACCGGTGGGGATTCTTTGGTTGTGTTCCGCTTTTTGGTTGGCCTGGGGTCGACATCTTCTTCGATGTTACGGCGCTGAGACTTTGGACGTCCGCGCGGCGCAGGGGGTTTTGCCTGATTCTTGTCTGCCTTGGCGGTCTTTGGCGCGGCCTTCTTTGTTGACTTGGAGGCCATAACGGGTTCTTCCCGAGGCGGAGTCGTGTCAGCCGTAGATGAATTGTCGTCATGATCGTGTTGGTCCTGCCCGGGAGAATCGGGTAGTTCCTCTGCAGCAACTGAATCAGAATCGACATTCAGACTGTCACCGAAATCTTGTTGTACTGCGGCGAATGAATTCGCGTTTTCGTCGCCGTCGCCGTCGGAATAGTCGGAAAAGTCATGTATGCCTGCGGGCTCAAATTCTGCTGCTAGCTGTGCTTTTGTCGCGGGTTTTTGTCGTGTGCCATTCCTCTGGTTCGGGCGTCCCACATTCACCGAGCGAGTGGAAAGAGGAGATGCATCTTGACGCGGTTCTCCCTGTGCGCCCGCGAAACCTTTGCCGTCAGACGGACTAGACGACTCGAGAAGATCTTGCGGGTCTGGAGTGGATTGCAACGCTGGAGTCCTCCGCGGAGACCCAGTGAGGCCAGTCTTCATCGGCGACCGCGCGGCAGGAGGGGGAGAAAAGAGGTACGTGAGCCATTCGTGCCCTTGAGGAAGTCCATGGGATCTGGCGCATTGCCTATAGAATTTGCATCAGCACACAATGAGTCGGTAATATAAGGCGACACTAAATTAGCCCACCTTCATCCATTGACATGCCCTCGGACCCAACTGAAGAGTCATTTTCCACGTCTTCAAACCCATTCAACTCCACAGGCGACTTTTCAGGAGATGAGAAGAGACCGTCAACTTCTTCCATTCCATGTTCGTCGCGTCTACCCTCCTTTAGAGATATGCCAGTGCGCCTAGACGTATTCAGTATAGAGGTTCCTAGTAAGTAGAATTGACTATGACAAATCGACTCACCTTCCCTTGGTTCCCACATTGGAGTAGTCGAAGTCGCGGGCCTTTCCGGGCCCTCGTGCCATATTGAAAGTTTAGCACCAGGATAGAATAGAAATTCAAAAGGTAAGGAGAGATTCAAGAAAAGCAGTCAAAGAGAGACACAAGGTGGAGGGGAGGAATGCGGAATTTAGGCGGGAAGAGCAAGACGCGCCCCCCGCTAATCCCGAATGGTCGACGCGTTGTGCACTCGGGGAGATCTTTTGCATTTCTTTATACTCCATACCCTCAAGACTTTCTTTTTTCTTCGTTTTTAAAACGAACTTTTCAATCTTCTATATGCCTATTATGACAAATGATACTCCCCCCGTCAATCCTCCCAAGGAATCCTCCACCTTTATTCCTCCTAGTGTGATTTCAGAACCCCTTCTCTGCGGCGAGTCCTACGCATACTACACCCCATGCCCAAATGCAATCACGCCCCAAGAGACCTCACCCACGATTCATGATACAGTTGAGAGTACACCATGTGTCTTGGGTGTTGATGAAGCCGGCCGTGGTCCTGTCCTGGGGCCAATGGTCTACGGTGCCTTCTATCTCCCTCTTGATCTCCATCACTCGCTTTTGACCGAAAAACACAGCTTTGATGACAGCAAAGTGCTTACACCAGCCGTGCGAGCGAACCTGATGCATTTATTGAATACACCAGGAGATTCGTTGTTCGAGTCCTGCGGATATGCGGTCAAAGTCCTTTCGGCACGCGACATCTCTTCTGGCATGATGAGATCACCCACCGCAGTATACAATCTGAACGCCCAGGCCATGGATGCCACAGTGGAGCTTATTCGAGGGGTGGTTGAAGACCGTGGAGTGGATGTGCGAGAGGTATACATTGACACGATCGGGAACCCCGCTACATACCAGCAAAAATTGGAGCGAATCTTCCCATCTCTCAAAATCACAGTGGCAAAGAAGGCCGATTCCTTGTATCCCTGTGTCAGCGCCGCCAGTGTGGCAGCCAAGGTGACGCGGGACGTTGCACTGGAAGTCATGTACGAGGCCGTGCTTCGGGCTGAGCAGTCACTTACCACAACCCCCGAGACTTGGGGAAGTGGTTATCCCTCGGACTCCAAGTGTGTCGGATGGCTTCGACGCAACATGGACCCTGTATTTGGATGGGGCAACGAGTGTCGATTCAGCTGGGGCACTGCGAAGGAGATGCTTGAAATGAAAGGAGGAGCACGAGTCGACTGGCCCGACGAAGAGGAGGAAGGAGCACCTCGGCTGGATGAGTTCTTACTATCATCAGCCCCCGGGAAAAGCACGGGCAAGGTTGGATTACGAGATTGGTATGGCCACAGACAAACCGAGGTTCTCTGAATGCGAATGCTCCGTGTAATGTGATTAGACGTGAAACTTAATAAAACATTAATGATACCCCTTGCGCTTGCTTGACAAAGCACAGCAAGAGTGAGAACAAATGAAAGATGAAATAGCATGAAAAGACTCGTACATAGAAATAATGGGTATCATGGGTGAAAAAGATCTGGGCTCATCTGTGGAAATTCACAGCGTAGCAGTCGAGAAGTAGAAGTTGTCCCAAAGGTATTCATAGTCCTCCACAACACTGCCCACCAAGTCCAACAATGGCTTGCCTTTCATCTTTCCAGTTAAACTGTATAGCCAAGGCCTGTTTCACAATGTCAGTATTCAAACAGAAACCCAGAGACAGAACAGAGTCGGGGTTCTTACTTGGTGATATTTTCATAAAATGCGCCTCGCATCATCCACCAGCCCATTGACCATCCACGCTTCTTCAGTTCCTCTCGCTCAAGTCCTGTAAGTCCTCGAAGACCGCCAGCGACCCGTTCACGGAAGTCCCGCTTTGCGAGCTGGCGGCAGCCATACTCCATCCCAAATCCAATAAGCCATGGCCGCCAGCTTCGCTTATCACCACTCCACTTTTGCATCGCCATTGCGTAGACGAGGGGCCGAAGGATGTATAGGACTTCAGCCAGTTGTCCTTGTCCTGTAGCCCGGTGGAGGAGGGCCTTCGGGGGTTTGATGTCATCTGCCGTAAGCACTTTGGAGATGAGATAGTTCGACACATCGTTTACGTCGGGCAGAGACGGAAGGGAAAGTCCCGTGCGAGGCATCGTCCAACTCAAGTCTGAAGACAGCTCGCTGACCGGACTGTCCATTCCGTTCCAGTCACTCTGCGGTTCCTCTTCTTCCGTCGTTCTTGGATCTACCTCGCGCTCTGGAAGTGGAGGACTGACGAGCGGTCTAGAGTTGGTCAATCGCAGAAGAAGCAAGCGGCAAACTGCCTTTGCGAATTCAATAAAGATAACCACGCGCCAACGGGTTTTCTGACCGCGCCGCCGCGCCGCCATCTCCCAGAGAAGCTCGGTATACTGGAGCATTTGTAGCGCAAGCGCCACCTGGCGATACAGCGAGGAGCGAGAGATCCAGTATTTTGTATACCGGGAGTGGGGAGTGGGCGGCGGCCGGCGGACAGTCGATGGAAGCCGATCAACAACTCGCGAAACAAGAGAGTCATGGTATAACGATAACAACTGGACACCGGAGTGTACTGCAGGGGGTATCAGCAGGCGCACCCAAAGGCAAGTACAATGGTACACTAACCACATTCTGAGGGTATCTCTGATTCGCGGTATCGCCCTGGTAGGATATATTTGTTAGATTCTTGTACAGCTGCATGGTCAAACCGAACGAGGACTCACCTGGGATGATATAAGTCAAAGATCTCAGCGCTGACTCGACTTGACCAACCGAGCTGGCATTCTTGGTCACAAAGTCTTCATAGATAGAAAGCCATTTGGAGGGTTGCAAGAGCACCGGGGGTATTGGATTCTGAAAGTTTCGAACGGTTTCCATCTTTAAGCATCAAGCATGTTGAGATAGCTGTGACGGAGGAGATGAGATCCGGGGGAGGGTCACCTCGGGAGGTTACAGGGGCACGTGGTCCCGCGTCTGCCAAGATGCCTTGGGCCGAGGTTGATGCTTTTGGCCTTTTCATACTTTACATATACCTACTTAGATCTAACTAACTAGTTATGCATTGCAAATGAACCGATGGTGTCAGGTATCTTTTATGATGTGTTTTTAGCCATAGAGTAAAGTTTGAATAGGTCGTAGATATATGTTTGTCTTATTCATCCGCCCATGTCCATAACCCCCCAGGACGCATAGCCTCTCGATATCGCTCTTCCACTTTCTGACGCTCCAACCTCTTGGCAGCTTCAAGGTCGTCTTCCTCCTCCTGTGTATCTGGCATATCAGTCCGCCAGAAGCCAGGAGGGGATTGAGCCCGCTGGTGAGTATGCCGATGTCGTCCATATTGGTTGGCCAGTGCCCTGGCTCTCGCTTCCACCAGGAGATTTTCACGCTCTTTGCCGCTCATGTTTCGAAGCAATTGTGTATCTTCTCCCACGAACTCTTGTAGAATTGCCTGATCTTCTTCCTCTTGTTCTGCTTCAGATTTACCGGGGAGACCCCCAAGGCGAGCCATGGCCCGGAACCGATCCCCGCAACATCCTGGGCGAGTACAGCCTGATATGCATTTGCGGTCATCCTTCTTTCGGACAACTGCACCATATGCGTAATCAAGCCCTTGGTTCCTAGCCGGATTGATTTTGAAATGGGCCAACCCAAGACGACGAAGAGGTCTTGCCCTAAATGGTTCATCATCGGGGTCTATATCTGGGGCCATTTGACTCGCCATCTTGGGTGCTGTTTGATCACTGTGGGATGTATCGTTCGCCCTTGTTGAATCTGGACTGGAGACTTTGCTCGCCAAATGAAGGGGTGATTTGGAGGGTACCGATCGTTCTAGAAGATTTTCTAGACGTCTCTGTGCAAATCCACCACTTGTCTTTGCTTCCGAAAGTCCAAGATTGACACCGGAGCCAATCTTCGGAGACGTCCGTAAGGATATCGCATCATCACCGTCTTCTGCCAGAGCTGGGATTGCGCGTCGCTCCAGGTCTTGAAGGCGTTTCGTGGCAGACCCCTGTGCAGAGAATGTGGCCTTGCGTGCGTTGCCGTCAACTTGTCGGAGTACAGATGACAGTTGCGATATTTCCTGGCCTGGTGGAATTTGCTTTGAGTGATGTGCGGTATTTGTATTGTTCTCTGAATTCCAAGCATCTGCGATATTGACATCCCGGTAGGCTTTCCGTTTGATTGGTGTCCGTATCGTGTCCCCTATCTCATCGAGATCTTGCGTGCTCACAAATGGCTGTTCACTGTTGTGCATTGAACCTCGGGTTGGACTCGAGGACAAGATCTCATTTTTGACAACTGCAGGGCGCTCCGAGTTCATGACGGCCCGCTGGGTATGCATGAGATGCCTGTCAGGAAGCGTTGGTGAAAGCCTCTGCCGGGTCTGCTGCCGGTGGACATTGGGTATTGTATCAGAAGATTCCGAGGGTTCCATATCGGGTCTAGGAGAGCTAGACTGAGTGGAGGCCGACCCTGATGTTAAGCCATGCATTACTCTTTGGTTATCATCTTCAACTTTTATATCTGCATGCATATCATCTGCACGGGGCCTTCTTTGTGACAACTTGATGGCCTTGGCAGGAAGATCTGAATGCTCTTCTCTTGGACGTTTCTTCGAGGAGCCTTGGGCCTCCGAGTGTTCTTCGTCGACATCCTCGGGGGTGGGACTTTCCACTCTGCGGAATGTGACAGGTTGACCATTGAGAACAAGCGAGAATTCTCCACGCTCTAGTTGCTGATCCCATCGCCGTAGCTTCTTTTTATGCTGCAACACCCGGGATTTGAGACCACTCCAAGTTTGGATGAATGTCTGTAAATTTGTATAAAGCGCGGTGTATTTGGCCTCGACTCTTTTCTGAGATTTTCGAGACTTGCGATGATCAACCTCCTCCAGATCATCCCCCCACAGATTTTTCGGGTCAAATTCGGTCTCTAGATTGGCATATTCCCCGGGAAGTTCAAGATCCCGTGGATCAACTTCATATTGCTGCAGCTCACTCCGGAGTACCGTGATATCATGCTCAAGCTCTCGGATTCTGGTCTCTGATCGTCGCTGGGCTTGGCTGGCCATTGATTCTTTAATTTCTGCCTCTTTGGCATGTGCATCAATATGGGATTTCATGTGCTTATAGGCATTATCGAAGGAGGCCTCACAGGCATTTGCCACAGCAGCGTGGAGCTCCTTGACAACTTCCATTGTGAGATTTCCAGTGTAGCATCGAGGGACATGACATGGATCAGAAGGAAAGGGAGAAAATAAAAAAGCAAGTTGTAAATGTCCTGTCAGGCCGCACGATATACCTAGGTAAACGCGACGCGTCGAGGCCAAATGGGCGCACGCACGTGAGCTTATCACTCACCGATAAGATTCCCCCGGTGGCTCGGAGCTCCACCTGCAATTGTCCCTCCACTTTCAACTGTGTTCCTCCGAGCGGAATGATTTCTCTGATTCATTCTACTGGTCTCACAAGTTTTTCTTTAGCCTGAGACAGGATGTCCAAACGGTGCAGAGACTGGGACTCCGATCTACCGCAAAAGCGGACCCGTACTCGGAACGATATTGGGCCTGTTGATCGTCTGTCTCGTCTGAGCAATGAGTTGCTGCTCCATATCCTTTCATTTTTACCAGTATCATCCCTTAATGTGTGTCAAAGGTATTTCATCTTCCCATTGTCGTCGGTTGTTCTCGGGAGGTTTCGCTGACTTGCTAACTCAACCAGGTTATCACATCGCTTCCATGCTCTTGGTGGGGACTCCGAGATATGGAAAAGGCAATACTACTCGCAATGGGTGCGACCCCGGGCCCGCCGCCTCGCAAATATTAGACGCACAACCCTTCCAGCCAAGACGGATTATTCGCCCAAGGTCGCAACATGGTTCGATCATGGGCACTTGGCACAGGAGGGCAATTGGAAACGGCAGTATCGGCTCCGGCATAATTGGTCTAAAGGGCTATGTCGGGTTACTGAGGTAGAGTTTCCTCAGCCACCATGCCCTCCTACGCTGGTCAGGTTTTGTGCTGGGATTGTCTTCACGGCAGACTCAGCGCACGGGCTCCGGGCTTGGACTGCAAGAGATTCAGCATGTTGTCTTGCAAGAATCCCTTTGTCAGTTCCATCGAAATCGCCATCTACAATCCCAACTGCCTTGGCAGTAAGCCAAGTCCAAGATAAGATCGAGATCTCAGTCGGACTGGAAAATGGTCACTTCAGCCTCTTCGTCTTGAATCTTCAAACGTCCCAGCTAGACTTGCAGTCTTCTCATGTCGGCTGCAGCGATGCTGCTATAACAGCAATGGCCCTCTCGTCGCCGTATTTAATGGTAGTATCCCAGCACAAAGATTTGACCTTGTACAATCTACGACCTGGCAGCCATCTAACAGGGGCAACTGCCGAGGCCTCGCAGCCCCGCCAGGTTGCCTCCCTCAAGGCAGATAACATTGTTGCACCCATGACACTGTCTCTTAGAATCTCGTCTTTTGAAATTGTCGCTACTATTGTGTATAGTTTCTTCCATATTGGCTGTGGGTGGTCTCTTGGGATTCAAGAATTGCGTCTAGGCAAGGATGGGCAACAACTTGATTCCCGACTGGCTACTACAGTGGATTCCCAATATGGATTGAGGCCACTTCAATCCAGAAAGAGGCGACACTCTGCCGAATCGGCCGACAATCAACCTCGCATGGACCCTGGGGCACCGTCTATCATACATCAACAGCCGCCAACCTCCATGTCCTATTCACATCCATATTTGCTGACCTCTCATGCGGACAACACGTTGACTATGTACCTTGTGGTATCTACATCGGAATCTTTGTTCGTTCAAGGCGGCCGGCGACTTTGGGGCCATACCTCTTCGGTATCTGCAGTTCAAGTGACCAACCGCGGGAAAGCTGTCTCTGTAAGCTCTCGAGGGGATGAGATTCGAATATGGGAGTTAGAGATGGCGATATCATCCCTGGGCAGCCGCAAATTCTTCGAGGAGAACGGTGTTCAGCTCAATACTGGAAACAAGGATGGGGAGCCCGAACCAGAGCCGGGACTAGGAACTGTTTATCACAATTTGGGCAATGTAAATGTGGAATCCCAAGAACTGACCCTACCTATCGGATTTGACGAAGAACGGGTCCTTCTCCTTCGAGAAAAGACCGGAACACAGTTACTTGAGTGTTACGACTTCACCTAACACAAGTATATATGGATATGTATATATATATTTATGTATGTGTGTGTGTCAAGGTATGCAAAGACAAGAAAGAACCCCTGTGACGTGTGTAGCACAAGGTACTCAACCTGGACTGGGGACCCTGGCAGGACAGGGGTTGTTCATATAAAAAGTCGCCCCAAATTTTGTTCGACCTTTTTTGTCCCCATTTTCCATTCTCCGGTCTCAGGTCTTGGGGACCTGAGACCTCCCATTTTCCATAAAAAGTCAAATGGATAAGAGGGGACAGGCAGACAGGCAGACAGGCATTCTCTAAATCCATGACTTCCATTATATACACTGATGATCGGGAGGAAACAGAGAAGAACAGAATATAAAACAGAAAATCCAAAAGGGAAAAAAAGAGCCAAAAGAGCTAAAAGAGCTAAAAGAGCTAAACTTCCCAAATCAAGAGAATCCATCTGTCTCTTCAGGGCGGTCAGCTTTGGAAGAAATCATTTCTCCCCCGCACAATATTATATTTTTCCCAGAGCAGACTCTTCAACTTCTTCATTCTTACCTTTACTTTTTTCTCTCTTATAAAACTACCCCCTCTATTCAATAATGGATTTCCCTCCTGCCGGACGTGGTGGCTGCTTCAACTGTATGTTCTTTTTTCCCCTGCAACCTGGACTAGGAGACAAGCATTAGTTTGGTTAAATCCCTGTGAAATACGTCATATTCACTTGGAGCTGTGCTTGTACTCGAATTGGATCCGAGCTCTATTGCGACACATCTCTATTGCGCAGATTGATACTTGATTTGGTTTTTTTTTATTTTATTTTATTTTTACTAACACTCTTCCTTCATAGGCGGCGAGGCCTCTCACCAGGTAATTACAACCTTTGCCTGATTCCCTCTGAAAATTTTGAATCACAACATTTTAAGAGACTTGAAGCTTATCTGCTCTTTCTAGGCCAAGGACTGCCCTAAGAAGGGAAACCCTACCTGGTAATTCCCCTTTTGTGATCTGTCAATTTAAAAAGCTAAAAAGCTAACCCTACTCCTCCAATAGCTACAACTGCAACGGTATGCTCATCTCAAAATTGTTCCGTCCATTGAACATCTGGACTGGTTATTAGAACGTTGCTAATCAATTTCACAATTACAGGCCAAGGTCACTTGAGTAAGTTGAAAGTTGAATATCGCAGATTCTGTTTGGACTTGACTAACATTTCGAAAGGCCGTGAATGCCAGGAGCCTGCCAAGGAGAAGTCGTGCTACCGTTGCGGCCAGACCGGACATCTTTCTCGCGAATGCCCCCAGGGTGGTGACAGCAACTACAGCGGTGGTGGCTCCCAGGAGTGCTACAAGTGCGGACAGGTCGGCCACATTGCGCGCAACTGCTCTCAGGGTGGTAACTACGGCGGTGGTTACAGCGCGGGTGGTGGCTACGGTGGTGGTTTCGGTGGTCCCGGTGGTGCCGGTGGTCGCCAACAGACCTGCTACTCATGCGGTGGCTTCGGCCACATGGCCCGTGACTGCACCCAGGGTCAGAAGTGCTACAACTGTCAGTTATCTCGGGCTTTTCTCACTTTCTCTAGAATCTGCTACTAACCCATTATTAGGCGGCGAAGTCGGCCACGTCTCTCGTGACTGCCCCACTGAGGCCAAGGGTGAGCGCATGTGCTACAAGTGCAAGCAGCCCGGCCACGTTCAGTCCGCTTGCCCTAACTAAGGTGTCCATTGCTTGCATTGCTCTTTTGGTCAACATCTTTCTTCAGTTTCCATGGGATTGGACGACATTTTTCATGCATGCACGAAACGAATTTCTCTTTTTTTCCCCCTGAAAATGTATGATTAGAGATCAACACCTGATAAGGTTGACATGATCTAACTTTTGATGCCTCCTACCTAGGTTGTTTGGTAATTCCCGGGTTTTATGATAACACGTATAAAATGTGAAGTAGGGAGCCTGGCAAATACTCGTATTTGCACCTTTTAATTCTCTAAGTTTATCTGGATTGGGAGTCGACGCATTTGCTATGTAGCTCAAATCGGTTCTGATTCCTTTTTTTAAAAAAAAAAAGTATAAAAAAAAGGAACTGTCATACATACACTCGCCTCCCAGAGAGTTGGGATCCCCATGGCGCTCATGGCTTAATTACGAGCTGCAACTGCACATCATAGCCCTCTTGTACTTGGGGACATCCCCACAGAAACGTTCTTCCTCTTCCTTGTGAAGATTCCATTCATCGTTGAACGGGTGCAAAGACATCTGCATGATCCGGCCTAGAATATCTCGGTCTCCTTTGCGCTCCACACGCTCGATGACCTCGTCGAGAATCCACCCTCGAGGCACGAACTATCAGTGGGTTAGTCACCGGTCTTCGAAAGGAAGATTTCAATAGGTACTTACATTCGGGTTGACAGATTTCATGGCCTTTTGTCTTTCCTCGTCGTTTGCGGGGCCCCAGTCCTCTAGGACGCGAAGCCGCCAACTATCCAGCCATTTCGCAATGCGATCTCTAGCTGTAGTCTCGGTGTATCCGATCCCACCGAAACCTTCAGCGTGGAAGAAGACCGAGGCTGCTTCCCTTCGGCCTTCTTCGGTCTCCAGATTGGATAGTGGCAGTCCTGAGAGTCGGCGGAAGAAGTGGTTGAAGTCCAGTTCGAGTGCTTCTAGGGTGTCTAGCATCTCCGAAAAAAGATTCTGAAAGTCCGATTCGGCCTGTGTTTTGAGTCCTAGCCTCTGGCCCATCAAGCGCTTGTATTCGTTTAGGAATACTGCTTTGAACTCCTCGCCCACACGCTCAATAATTTTCTCCGCACGTTTGATGAGTTCCGGTTCAAACTCCTCCGTCACCCCATCATTGACGAAGCTTTCATCGTCAACCCGGTTTCCGGCCCCAATCAACTCACCTAATGACTCTCCGAGTCGGACCAGATTCCACCAGATAATGCTGGGTTGGTTGCGATAGGCGTATCGCAACATATGGTCATCATGGTTCGGGGTGTACTGGGGATCAAAGTTGTCCATAAACGCAAAGGGGCCGTAGTCCAGCGACAAGCCGTAGATGGATGTGTTGTCGGTATTCAGCACGCCATTCATGAACCCGTAGGCCTGCCACGCGGCCACCGTCTTAGCATTGCGGCGAGCGATTTCTCGATACAGTCTAGCAAATCGATTTTCTTGTACATCCTGGTGTTCTTGTACTTGGTCACCGGGGATACCCCTTTGGGGATTATCGATTTGCGTGGAAGACTGCTGGTCATGTAGCGATACAATGGCGGGAAGGGATTCCCACCCGCTAAAAACGTCTTCTCCAACATATATCGCAAGCTTCCTGATCAGCTCACGATCTCCGCGAACGCGAAGAAGATCAAAGGTGCCGATTCTTAGCCAACTCTCAGCAAACCGAGCAACAATTGCTCCTGGTTCAAGACGTTCTCGCAATACCTTAACATTGGGGACCAAGGTGAGTGAGAGTGCCCGAGTGGTTGGTATACCGAGGGCAGAAAGAGCTGGTAATATTTCAGTGGTCTGTCCTCAGGTTTGATGCAGGTTTGATACAGGTTTGCTTACCTTCTGAGACCACGTATTCACGGATACTTGACCGGAGGACAGCTTTGCCATCTGCGAAACGCGAATAGGGTGTTTTGCCTGCTCCTTTCAGTTGCAGCTCATACCGCGTATTTGTCTGCGGGTTGGTGCATTCGAAGAGACTGATTGCACGCTAATTTCGTCGGTAATTAGTATCTCTAGTGAACCGAGGACTCGGTTTCATATTAACTTACCCCGTCTCCAAGTTGTCCAGCCCATGAACCGCTACATGTTGTCAGCTGCTAACGTTACATTTCGAGCTTCTTCCGTAGCTTACAATTGCCACCCTGCGCAGGTTAGTCTCTTTTGGGTTCCTCATGCATGACAACGTGGATACTGACCTCCATAACACTGTGCCCATGGGTAGATTCCACCCTGTTCCTCGTTCCACCAAATCTCATTCCCGGCGACCAGCGCCTTGAATGGTGACGTTTGTTCCTCACCTGGTTTCAATCCCAAATCTTTCATCGCCTTCGAACTGACTCCCAGTAGTTCTGGCTCATCGGTCTGCTCTGGGCGAATATATGTGAACAAAGCTCCTTTGACCATGCGAGGCCCCAAAGTTTCCCTTGGGGCCTTATGCGATGATTCCGGTGTATCAAAAGCCGGATCAGGAGGTAATTTAGAGGTGAAAACATTTGATTTCGGTAACTCAGCCAGGGAAACCCCGGCAGTCGAAATATGTGATACCATTTGGTTTAAACGATTTCGAACCGGTGGCCGAAAGCTGCGTGGAAACATATACCAATTCCTTGAACACGCAAGTACGCAGAAGTTCATAGAGAGAATTTAAGTAATTGCTCAAGGATATGAAACCAAGTGAAGGTAGTTGAAGTATGGAGAGGGAGCTTTCGCCCGGGAGTCAGAAATGACATAATTGGCATTATTAATCATTGCCCAGGTCCAGCCCTGGAGGTCTACCGTGGATGGGCTCCCGAAGTCATCCACTTACAACACCTTTCCACCTTTCATCATCCTCCAGGGCTATATTGCCCTTTTTATAAGAAATCATGGCAAATACTATTTCGTCTATTCCTACATTGGACCTCAATGACGGTACCTCGGTCCCTATCGTGGGTAATCCATCATACCCCACATCCATGCATAAACATGGGCAATGTTCAATGTTCAATATTATCTAACAAATACAGATTGGATATGGCACTGGCACCGCGTGGTTTAAGAGGTCCGGGGACACCGGTATCAATCATGAATTGGTTGAATCAATCAAGACGGCAAAGAAGCTAGGATACCACCACCTCGATGGAGCTGAAATATACCAAACCGAGGAGGAACTGGGACAGGCAATCAAAGAGAGCGGGGTATCACGAGAGAAACTCATCGTGACGACTAAGGTCATCACCAATATCGCCGATATTCCTCAGGCCATTGACACTAGTCTCAAGAAGCTCCAGCTTGACTATGTGGACCTGTAAGTGAATTCCAATGTGGTGTGAGTAATTGGCTCGCCCGGGAACCACTTTTAATAATTAAAGCAGGTACTTGATCCACGCCCCGTACTTTGCAAAGTCCAAGGGAGAGCTTCAAGCTGCCTGGGCTGCCATGGAGCAAGTAAAGGCATCTGGAAAAGCCCGGTCCATTGGCGTGTCAAATTTCCTACAAAGCGACTTGGAGACCATTCTAAAAACCGCTAAAGTGGTACCATCTGTGAATCAGATTGAGTTCCATCCTTACCTTCAACATGGCAATCTTGTTCCCTACCAAGAGAGTAAAGGTATCAAGACTGTTAGTTATGGGGGCCTCACCCCTGCCACCCGGGCTCAGGGCGGCCCATTGGACCCTCTGCTCTCTTCCTTGGCCACCAAATATGCAGTCAGCCAGTCTGAGATCCTGTTACGCTGGATTATCGACCGTGGCTGTGTGGCTATCACCACCAGTGGCAAGGAATCCCGCCTGAGCAGCTATTTGCGCACATTTACATTCAAATTGACTCCTCAAGAGGTTGAGGAGATCTCCAAGATAGGCGAGCAGAAACATTACCGTGCATTCTGGCGTGAGAAGTTTGCAGAAGATGATCGTTCCTGAACGAGGCTTCAGGAACAAACCTAGCATAAGGATTTTTATAGATCCATTCCCTGCATCTTGTCAAGACGACAAGGTACATACCTCCTACATATCCACATATTCATGTACATATGTATGTAGATATTCGGATTGATTTCTTCAATATTTGAATAGTTACATAGATGGACCTTCAATGTTGTACTGTATGTAATGAAATTGTACGGTAACGATAAGCCGATAAGCAACACCGTAACCGACCTTAACGTAACCTTCTCCAATTCATCTGTCTCTTTCATTCTATCCGGGGACATTTCCCATCTCTCGCTCCTTCATGGAAAGAGGTCACCCTCTCATTGTGACACACCCCACTTTTTCTTTGTTACTTCGCCTGTGTTTATTTCTCCCCAATTGCGCGGCTTCGAAATCCCAGGGTTATGGGAACATCCCCCACGCGCGATAGTGATAGGATGCCCTGATTATTCGGCACCTGAATAAGGTCGGATCTTCTACATCCACTATCCTTCCCTTGACTCAATGCGTTGACTATCACCAGGCAACTCGCCATACCGACTCGAGAGGTCTCGGTGATAGACTTCGGCCCAAATTGTGCTTGAAGCGCGTATGATACAAGCATCTCTTGTGGAACAAATCGCGAAACCCTGCGCACTGCGATGTCGGTGAACGAGAAACGCCATTCTCAAACCACTACAACCCCCCGAGCTGCGAGTTCCTCCACGTCGGACCGTGAAGTGCTTGACCAACGATTGCAGCGCCTCTCCGACGAAGTCCTCCCCCCGTTCCATATTTACTCACATTTCCGACCAAAACGCCCTTTAACCTGGGGAACCGGTCCGCCAACAATTGGGCTGTAGGGCATGACAGACCCTTCAGCTTGGAGGAGCAGCAACTACAATATACGACCTTCTTGACGCACCACGATACAGACTCATTGCTTCTTGCTGTCGGGGACTGGTCAGACGAAACGGGGCGCATTATGGCCGATCGATCAACAGCCCCAAGCGCTGGAGAAAGTTCGAGAGAAACCGTGGCCAAAAAGAAGATTAGTCTCAAGGACTACAAGACTCAGAAGACCAGTGGCGCTGTCGCATCCCCCCTTGGCCTCGAAGCGGGTAGCCGAGGCGCATCAAGCTCCACCAAGTCCGAGGAAAGACGACAAACTATATCTTCGGAACCCGTCAAGAATAACGAGATGACTAAAATGCCTAGAATGCCGCCGAAGTCACATGCGCGTCTCTCTCCCGAAAGACCAGGCCAGAAAAGGCCATCTGGGTCGGAATTTGAATTCACTAACCCCTCGGCGACTAAGAAATCCGAAGCACATCCTACAAAGAAACTGCGACTCTCTCCCGAGAAAGAGACACACCGAGAGCCCAGCCCTGCCAAATCGCACTCCCCCAAGCTGCCCGCACTTCTTTCGCCTACCCTCCCACCGACATCGGGTGGCCCCAGACTTCCGCGCTTACTATCTCCTACCCTCCCCCCAGACATCGAAAAGGAGTTGGCCCGCCTTGAGGACCGTTCACCGTCTCGCAATAGTCGGGCAGGAAAAGGATTGCCTGCCAAAGAACCCAGTACCCATGAACATACAAGAGACCACGCCCGTGCCGACCCACAAAAGACGCAGCTTCTTGCCAAACTGCGGTACGGAAGATCGAATCGAAAGCGTGTCGAAGCTCTTCTTAAATTTTCTGGTAAAAGGAAAGCCCATCTGTCAGATTCACCGGTCAGCCAGGATACCGATCGTGATGATGTCTCCCATCGCAGGAAGAAGGGAGGGGATACTGGTTCGTCTCGTGGACACACATTCGGGAATCCGAAAAGCAAGAAGCATGAGACTGATGAAGCCCTTGGCCCTCAAGATGGTCGCTCAAAGGAGCCAAAGACCTTCCCCGAAAAGCCTCGAACGCCGGTTCCTCAGCCACACTTGACCTCTCATTCAATCGCTCATGACAAAACCAAAACAGCTTCCATCACGCCGGTGAAAGACCTAAAACCTCCTACCTCTCGTCGAAACGATCTCGGAGAGACCGATGCCAAAACTCCCTCTTATCCCGCCAACAAACGTCATTCCGTTGATCCCGGGTCAATCATGAAAGCTTCCCCGACACAGGCAGATGGACGTACGCGCAATGAGCGGCAGGTATGGTGGGATGAGTGGCAAAAGTTTGCGAGCATCGGTCGTGAATTGAAACATGCCGCAGAGCGGCATACCTCTAAAACCGGGACCTCGGCCACTGACGAAAAGCTAGCCGTTGTGACTGCAATCGAAGCGTTGTTGTCCTTTATTTTGGCATTTGTAGCGAATGACCAGGCCAAGGCTTCATCACGCCAGGTCGGCGATTCCTCAACATGGCTGTCTATTGTGCCATACTGGCGTGTGGTCAGGAAGAACAGTGTACCCTATCCGGCATTGAACAGTCTCTGCTTGCTCCTTGGGGCTGTGTCCTTCACTGCCATTCACACCCTCGACCTTGAACGCCTCGCGATAAGCCCAGTTCCCGGAGAGCACACTCCGGTTCCCACGCCTGGGAGTGACGGAAACGCAGCCCTGTCGGATGAGAACAGGAAAAGCAGGAAGGAATTTTCAGAACTGAAGGCTCGTCTTCCTGAGTGCTACAGGGATTCCCAGAGGCTATGGATAGAGGGCACCCGGGGTCTTTCTGAAGATGTCCTTGGCCGTGAGTTCCCCACGATCTGGTCCCAGCGATCTCGAAATTATTCGGAGCGAGGCCGGTCATCTTTGAAGGCTGGCGACTATGCTGGAAGCTATTTCCTACCACTTGGTGGCACCACCCCGCCCATCGAAGTGGTTCGGTTTGGCTGGTCCCTGCTGAAGGAATGGTGCTCGAAAGAACGAGTGGAATGGAATGGACGTCTTGGTCTCTAAATTCATGTTTCATACTTGTCTCCTTTTTTTCCCCGTCGCTCGGAATATGCTTCATATGCTTCATATGGCGTCTCAGGGGAGGCCTCGTTATTTCTTTTTCGCACAGGTCATTGCCTTTTTCCTTTATATTTTCTCATGATACCACGAGCCCTGGATTTTCATGTAGCTATTTGCAATTCGAATATACCATGGGGGATGCAAAAGAATACATTATTTTCTCAGAGAGCTGCTTTGGCATCGCGTGCAACCGAGAAGTAAATGCAGAATGTATTTGCTGGTCAAAGTCTTCCAAAAATGAAATCTACTTGAAAGTCAAGAATTTCGCTAAAGCATATGAAAATATTATAACCGCTCAATCGTACAAAGATGGCGCATGCGTTAGGGACTTATAAGATGAAGAAAGAAAGGCCAAAACAGCCGACCTAGACCTCTTGATATTCAGGTCCGAAGCGATTCTGCGAGTCACCAAAGAGCCAACCAGCCTCGCGGCAATACCGGGCTTCTCTGCCGTAAATGCCGACTTCGCTTGCCCAGCATATCACCGCTGCATCTACAATATCTGCGATCACACCTTCCATTGCACCCAGTGTGGTCCAGCCAATTGTTCCAGCAATAAGACCGACGACGTAGGCATAAAGACTGCCACGAATGGTGCCACCGGACGCAGAGGTTGTCAGGCTCCGAGCAGTGGTCACCCAACCACCGAACCCCAAGGCCAAGGACATCATGAAGCGCGCAGCGTAGAGGATCAATTTAGACAGCTTGTATGAGAGTAGAGACCCCGAGCTCCCGGGGGACCGAGAATAGGAACGGGGATGTAAAGACGTTGAGGCCGCTGATGGAGCAAGGACAGTCATTTGGCTCAAACCCCGGGAAGAAGCGGCAAGAGGCTGCGAATGAATCGCTGCATATGTAAGAGAAAGAGGATTGGTCAAGTAAGTAATGGGGGTGGGGACGAGTGAATAGGCGAACAGACTGAGCAACGAGGAGATGCGACCTGGTAGCAAAAGAAGAGGAAGTCGAACCAACAGTCCTAGTAGTCTGGACAAAGAGATCGTGCCGAAGAGAGTTGTGGCGGCGTGAACGACGGCTGCCTGAACAATTTGCCTCGAGGTGGGTGCCGGTGTGGCCAAACGGTGGAAATACCACTGGCTCACTGTTGCAGCGGTGACAGCACGCTGGATGCCTGCGATGACGCCAATCGACCACAGATAAACGACAACGAAATAGATACCGAGCCACCAGCTACCCACGTCAATGATGAACGATTTCGAGCTAACAAGATGACCGCCCAAGAAGACGCGAGTGAACATGAGCATCCAGATCCACGTCCAGGAAACAACGCAGACCAAGGCACCTATACCAAGAGCAAGCAGCTCGGGATTGGCGGCCAAGATTCGACAGGCAAATTCAAGAATGCCTATGGCCTTCCCTATAGACTGACGGCCACGCACAACATTGTAGATCCACATGGTAGCTATGAGAAACGGGACAGCAGAGCCCCATCTCATCGCCTTGTCTTGGATACTCGTCCCATGCCATGGTCCCTTGAAACTTGAGATGAAAGAATATAAAGAGAAAGAATATAAGATAGTGGGAACAGCGACTAGGATCACATGGACCAGAAGTCGCACATAGGATCGTAGTAAGGCCAACCAAAGAAGGGACACAAGAACAGATACAATAGTATATATCCCGAGAAGGAAGAACGATCCATGGACAGTCATGTATATTGTATCGCCCCATCTTGATTTGTCTCCAGATGGGGTAGATGTGTGAAGGTACACGAGAAATGCAGAAGCAAACAATCCGGCGAGAGATATCAAAAACAACTGGCCCCAAAAGGCATCGTGCACTGTGTTTTCTGAGGCAAGTGGTGATACCGATGTTGGAAATGAGCTTGCCGAGCTGGGTGGCCGTGGAGCGTCTTGCGATAAAAGCTCAGCCTGCTCTACAGTAGGCCCATGCTGGCTGGGACCAGCGGGCTCCTTCAATAGTTCTCGTTCTCGGAATCGCTGAACAGGTGGATCGTGGGCACCGGCACTGGATATAGCTTGATCATCGTCAAAATCGGCCCGTAACGAATCCTCCAGACCGACATCAACTAAATGGCCGCGAACTTTGCTACTGCTTGGGCTGGATCGAGATGCCGGTTCATGCTCTGGAGCTTCTGCCACAGATTCGATAGGAAAAGGACGAGCACCAAAAGCACCCTCTTCTCCCCGCCATGAGCTCTTGATGCCTTTGCTAGGGCGATCGTTGTATGGTGAGCTTTCCTCCTCGAAACCTGAACGTTCAGAATCCTCAAGTTCTGAGGATTCCTTCAAGTTGCTGTCGCCAAACTGCCGCCTTGATCGTTGGAGTGCATAGAAATCAGCGATTTCTCGCTCGCGTTCTGTTTCGTCATCTTCCTCTCGAAATTCATCAGTGGCACTGAAGAAAAGGGGAGCTTGTTGAACCGAGCTGCGGGGGGCAAAAGGAAATTGAGATGCCTGGGATGCACCCGGTCGATAAGGATCGGTAGGTCGTAAGAAGGAGCGAGATGAAGGGTGTCGAGGGTTGCCTTGATGCTGACCAGGGCGGCTACGACCCGTTCTTTGAACCTCATCTGGTCGTGAGGTTACTCGCGACTGTGACTGAGCAAGGAATCGTGAGGCATCTAAGGCGAAATGTTAGCCATATAGTCTTCTAATACTCAGGATCTTCCAGTTCTCCTACATTCAGAGAACATGGCCTTATCACAACAAAGGAAGTACGGTGAGTGGGACAGGATCACTGATAGATCACTAAAGGGAATATGCTGAGGAAGTCAAGTACGGTCGGATATTAGAGAGTAAAGGAAAGCGAGAGAGAGGAAAGACTTTGAATTTGTTTGAGATATGCCAAATCTAGGAGAGAGTGAGTGTGTGTGGTGCCTGGGGGATAAAGTGAAGGGCTATAGGGTCACGCAGCTGATGAAAGCGTCATACGGGCACGTCAGGCTTGATAGATGACTCAGCCGATAACCATGAGATCTCCAAACGTACCTACATCGTAGGTAAACTGACCTCCGCTTTCTTTCCCATATCTGATTCTGGTCTTTCCTCTACTCTCTCCATGTCACAGCCATGGGATTATATTGCTAAGCTTGTCTGCATTGGTGACTCTGGCACTGGCAAGTCCAGCGTAAGTGCTATCAGTCTTTGACCTTGTACATCCGCTAACCAAACAATAGCTCACCGTCCGACTTTGTGAAGGCCGCTTTTCCCCATCTCATGATGTGACCATTGGTGTCGAGTTTGGGTCGCGAATTGTGCCAGTTGGTCCTCCAGCTTCACTAGAGCTAGAACTTGATGAGCCTTCTCCCGGATCATCAGGTGATACATTTCCAGAAGCGTCTACCACCTCCGGCCTTCCTACCCCTCCACGAAAACCACAAGGTTCTCCCAATCAAAAACGCATGAAACTCTCCCTATGGGATACCGCTGGACAGGAGACATACAAGTCTATCACTCGCTCTTACTTCCGGGGTGCCTCTGGCGCTCTCCTAGTCTTTGATATATCCAGGTACTCGACCTTTATATCCTGCACCCAGTGGCTGCAGGATCTACGGCATATTGCAGAAGATGGCATCGTTGTCATCTTGGTCGGTAATAAGACTGATCTGACGGGGGCCAGTTCTGGATCAAATCAAAGGCAGGTCACCCAGGAGGAGGCGGAAGAATGGTGTCGCATGAACAATGTGGTTCGCTATGTTGAAACGAGCGCCAAATCTGGAGATGGTGTTGAACGAGCGTTCTTGGAAGTCGCTGAGAGAATCTATCGTAACATTGAAACGGGAAAATACGACCTCAATGATCGGCGGAGCGGCGTGAAAGGGTTCGGGGCCTCAGGAGGAGCAAACACGGGCGTGCCTAGAACTGTCACATTGGGAATGGATGATGCTATGCGCAAAGGTGGCAACGGTTGGACCGGGGGATGTTGCTAAATCCACGGGTAGTCCGTAATAATAAATAGTCCGCAACATATGGCCCCGGCACATTTTCATATTCAACTAAATTGTTACCAGACACCAAGCGTGACTATGACCATCGGAATGAGAACTCTAGTATCTCTAATAACATTGCATTTTTCTTTACAAATACAGAAAGTAAAGTCAAATTATTCGTGTTGATACAAGTACCCATGTAGGCATGTAAGGTCCAGTTTGAGGTGGTCAACACGAGGTAAGCAGAGAGGACGAGAACACGACATCAAGCGATCCATGATTAGTTCACATTCGCCATTTTCCATCCAGGTAGCCAGCGTAGGTGAGTCCATTGCTGGTTAGAACCCTCCATTCCAAACACGATGGCTCGGAAATGAATGAACAATCCGACAATAACCACGTAGAGGAAAGCATACACCGCTGCAGACAATTTGGGGTTCATCCTTCGTGTCACCCAATCAACGCAGAAGCCGAAGTTCAGGATGGCATAATACAGAGCCGGATAGTAATGGTGGACATAAGTCACGCGGGCCATGATGATAAAGGGAAGGTAGTGCAAGACCCATCCGATAACCGGGTACAAGCCAGAGTAGTGGATGTGACTAATTTCCTCGTTGCTGAGATCATTGTAACCCCTCTGCCAGCGCAGAAGGTACCAAAGGAATAGAAGACCAAATCCACCAAGAGCCGCAGTGCTTCCCCAGTAGACCAGGGGGTTTCCTAGGAGATAGTATTTGACAACACTATCATCCCAAGAGCACATGCGCAAGCCGACATTGAGAATCGGCCATTGCCAAAACTTGGAAGCCAAGTCATCTTGCTTGTCAGGATCAGGAACCAGAGCATTGTTAGAGGTCATCATGGCCACATTCAAGTGGATGAAGTCCTTCAAGAAGGGCGATTTATAGGAGCCAGGGTCACCAGGGGGCACTGTGAATAGGTCAATAAGTCTGATTGGGCTTATCAATATCAAGTTTTCCAGAAAGGTATAAGCTTACAGCGGTCGTTAGTATGAGACTCAACATTCCAGTGAGTGTACACATCGCCGGGTTTGTTTTCTTTGGTACACGTTGTTTCAATCTGCTTGAAGCCCCACTGAGGTAGATTGACATTTCCTGCCCGCAAATAGCAGCCTAGGACCGGATGACGGAGTCGGAATGCTGTTGTGAGTGTCCGGATCCTAGATCGGTCCCGAGATGCAACATCATCGACCACCTCCACTTTCCAGTGGTCTTTGTCGTCTCCAATGGTAATATTTCCGTAGGATGACACTTCGTGGTGTGATTTGGTGATTGGTGCTGGGATAGCATGGGAATGCAGGTTGCGACCTGTCTGTCCGTGAATCAGCCGAATGACATCGCCATCACCAACGAACCGCAGATCAGCAGTGGCATCGTAGTCCGGCTCCTGTCGGTTGGGGTAGATAAACCAGTCGTTGTTGGCATCTTTGTGGTGGTAGCAGGTGACCTGCTGCTGCATAGATCCCTCCGGGAAGGTTTGAACGTGGGAGTGCAGAAGCCCTCCTCCGTAGCCCATATTTTTGAGTGTAACACGCGACCCAAGTGCAAGCTCAAGCGGGCTGTCTCTACCAACCTCGGTACCTTGTAGATTGGCTTGGAAAAGCGAGCTCATCTGGGCATCACCTGGACCACTGTTCGCCAGCACCAAAAAGTGCAGATAAAAAGAAAACATGTAGACCAAGATTGGAATAACAATCAATCCCACAACACGAGCAACCAAGTGCTTTGCGAGTACAGCCTGTTCGAACGCATCTGTATTAGCCAGCTAATCGGTAATCGACTTTTAGGGAAAGGGGGCTGAAAGCAGGTACTCACCCGTGGCATCTTCAGGTCGCCAAATTTATTCCACAGGTCATCAATCGTGTAAAGACCGACAAGAGCAGTGCAGAAGAAACCGACCCATTTGACACTGCAGACACATCCAATGCTCAAGCCAGTCAAACAGAGCCAGGCATACCATTCCAGTGAAAAGCTATCACGCTGCAACCGGTGGAATCTTGCCCAGCACATTGTGGTGGTAAATGTGAAGCAGAGGAGCATCGAGTCAAGAAGTATAAACCGAGAAATTGTCGCGTAGGAGTTCTCACACAGCACCATCAGGCTGATCAACCAAACTGTGGCCCGACGGAAGTTCAACTCTCGCGCAGTGTAGTAGGCGAGGGGAATACAGACTATACCAAAGGCAGCATTGAACGCTCGCATAAAGGTATAGTTCACATCTTCTGGATACTTCTCGCCAGACTTGAATTCAAAAGACCCATTATAGCCAGCAAGATAGCCGGACAGGCCAACTAGCATCTTCCCCAAGGGCGGGTGGACATCGAAGTAGAACTCGCGTTTGAGGTAGTGGGAACCGAATTTACCGAAGTGGGCCTCGTCCCAGGTCACAATGTTAGATCGGCCGATCTGGTACAGGCGGGTGAAGAGGGCGAGGGCTGTCAAGATGATAGGAGCAATGATTGGCTCCCAGCTAGCTAGCGCATGGAGGAACGAGGGTGACTGCGCAGGGGAGGTTAGAAGGGCGTATACGATGATGTCGAAGAAGGGTATCTCACCTGTGGTCTAGCTTTCTTCACGTCTTCAGCATTTATCAGGGTTGAGTCCAGATGAGCTTTGCTAGTATCAGGGACATTTCTTCGACGGAGGTCGGATTCGTGTTTGGCGCCCGTGCTCACGGCAGTGTCTAGGCCCGCCATACTGTGTGCCTTGTGGTATTTTCAAAAGAAAATGTACCAACAGAATGGGAGAATAGTAGGAAGTTAAACTGGGGAATACCGAGGTAGACCGATAATAGAAGGGCGGATAGCTTAAGAGAACATAGCCATTCCCCTGGGCAAATAAGTGATAGAATGGGGCAAACCTAGCGGATATACCGGAAGCAATGCTAGGAGTAGATCGAAAAAGAAAAAGAAAAATAGAAAGAAATGAAATGAAATGAAGCGAAACAAGAGAGTGGGAGAGAATAAAGGAGAAAGTGAGCGTGGCCTCAAGGAGGATAAACAAGTCCACTTTTAGCGGGCCGTTTTCAGAACATGGCCCTTGTAATTCCGAGTCTCAACCTAACTAAGTACCTTTTGCACATACCTAGTACTATAAATATACTGATGTATCCGGTCATGGTTATGGTATTTTCAAACTTACTACAACATTTATATCTACATATGTACGTATGGATACTAGTAGTAGATATCATACATAATGAATATATGGTACATATAAGGTACTATGGACAGGTACAAATACAAAGTTATGTACATTATGTATGTACATTATGTATGTACCTTGTACTGTGTATAACAAGGAAATTCCAGGGATACAGCATCTATACCATTAATCAGACAATGCAAAGCCTCGTACAACAGAAAACCCGAGGATTTGGATATATACCGCGAACGTGAACACAAAGAAATCAAAGACATCGGTAAAATGGGGAAAGGAGATATATGACATCGAATTCTTTGGTCTTTTTCTTACTTCCTTTATTCAGTCCGAAGTCACAATTATCCGTAACCCTTTCATTGCTCGTCTCCTTCTCCTTGCTCCAAACGTCTATATTGACTGCTGGTAGCACCGGGGCCCGCTCCTCGGTTTCGACTGACCATGTTTGAGATCCAGCCACCAATTCCCTCGCCGCGAACGCTGCCCTGGTGAGAATCTGAGCGTCCGCGTTTGCTGGTCTCTTCATGGCTTGAAGTCGGCGGGTCAATATCTAGGCCAGGGATAGAATTCTCTGCCCCAAATTGGCCATACTGCCGACGCAGGTCGAGCGACGGGACGGGTGAACCAGCACCCATTAGCGATCCCCGTTCGCCTTGAGTGGCGGGTGTCGGCATGGCAGTGGAAGCATCGCCAAAAAGAACGTTCATATCTTCGAGGCGCACCCCACTCGTTTCGGGGTACAAAAAATAAACTGTGGTGATGGTCAGCATAGTGATCTCTAGTGGATGACCATGGATGAGGGATCCTACCAAGCACAAAACTGCATGCACAAAAGAATGCGTGGACCAGATATAGCCGCCACTTGATAACTTCCTGAAGAATAGGGGTCACCTCGCCCACGAGCCAATTGAATGCCCAATTTGAAGCGGTGCTCAAACTTGCACCTTTGGCACGAATACTCAAAGGCAAAATCTCCGGGGGGTATAACCATGGAATGGGCCCCCAAGATGCCCCGAAAGCTGCGTTATAGAGCATAACGAAGATGACCGTCAGGGTTGGGGTGGCGGGAATTTCAATGTAAATAAAGTAGGAGATAAGAGAAAGCGAAATGAGCATGGCAACGGCACCCGAAAGTAAGATCGGTCGCCGACCCCAGCCATCCACGAGATACCACGGTGGTATGGTAGACAGCAAGTATGAAATACCATTGATTCCAGTCATAAGGATGGCATCCCGTCCAGCCCAGCCGGCCTATATTGAAGATTGGTCAGCATAATCATGAATCGTTTTTGGATCTTGTTTGAATCCGACATGGCACTGTTTTTTTGGGGGGGGGGGGACTCTGGATTCATACCGATTCAAACACGAGAGGCGCGTAGTATGAGATCACGTTAATCCCGTTGAGCTGGGCTAGGGCCTGGGCTGACATGGCAATCAAAACACGTTTGCGATACCGGCGGAACATGTCTGAGTAGGATCGTTCGCCCTCCTGTCGCTGGACGAGGACGTTCATCTTGATCTCACGATATTCTTGGCGGGCCTTGTCATTGAGGAGATCGCCTTCACCATAAAGATTTGCGATCACCACCATGCCCTCCTCGTCGTGATCATTATCAAGAAGCCACCTAAGCAGGGACCTGGGAGTTAGCCTGGCAGACGATGGAGGAGATTTCTACTCACCTAGGTGATTCACAGATCATCAGACTGCCAACTCCAAGCAAGGCACCCATGATACACTGGAAAAGAAGTGGGAGGCGCCAGGAGTAGTCGTTATCGATAAAGCTACAGAAATAGTCTACCCACACACTAGTCGCATACCCAGCAATATTGCCGGTGAATTCGATGCATGCGAGCTTCCCACGGTTGTGGGGAGGCTTGAAATTCGTCAGCATACCCGACGAGAGAATAAGGAGGGAGGCAAACAAAAAGCCTCGAGGATTGATGGAGAAGGGGATTACAAACCGAGATTTCAGACTGGTAAACTGGCACAATGGTAGAGAGGGCACCAACGCCCAGACCAGCAATGACACGACCGACCATCATCATGGGAATACCTGTGGCAAATGTTTGAAGAGCACCGCCAATGAAGAACACGATGGAGCCATAGAGTATAGTCCTTCGGCGGCCGATCATATCACCAACACGTCCCACAAGGAGCGAGGATATGAATGCTCCAATTTCGAGAACTGCAACCACAGTACCAATTGTAGCCCGAGAAGGTTGGTTGAAGTAATCTTTGAAGTACCAGCCACTGCATCCGTTAGCCACATTCCAATTTCTATGGCGAGTCTATGCTCGAGGGACAAGACACGAACGTTATGATGCCAGACATTACACCCTGGTCATAGCCAAAAAGAAAGACACCCAGCGATACAAACACACTCGTGAAGTAACTATATGCAAACCCGAGTCAGTGGTAAAAACTACGGTATTGGCCTTTGAGACACTCACAGTAATGGCTTTCCGACTAAGCCGTGTATCTGGGTGTTTGGTCCATTTCTGGGTGTCATTATGGCGGCCAGAACGCGTTCAACTCTCGAAATATGCCGTGGGGGAGGGGCTGGTATTCTGATCTTTTCAATATCGACCCCAGAACGCTCGTTGCTCAAGTTTGAAGAATAGTGGGCGTGTTTGGGCTGCTTCCTTCGCTCTTTTCGACGCAAGAGCCGTCGGTCTGAGGAATTACGGAGGTGAATTTGCAGCGGATCTTCAGCCTCGGCGAACTGCTCGGCGAGGTCACCGGTATCTGACCAGATTGAGCAGTCAGACCCGACCGAGCGAGCAGACGAGTGGGAAGACCTTCGACTACCCTTCTCGCTGGACTCCAGTAACTTGGCCGAATGTGTCAAGCGGGAATCAGAGGGTATGGACTGGAGGGGTATGTTAGAGGCGCGTGAGGGAGAAGTCGGAGAAATGATGGCGGTATTGACGGGCTGTATCTCGCAGCCCTTTGTCCCGGAGAAAAGAATGCGGAGTCGATGGAATTAACGATATCGATAGAGAGGTTCTCCGCAAGGAGTCAGCAACCGTACCACCTGGGCACAACCTTGAAAGTCACTGTATTAGTCCGCGATAGGGCGCCACTCAGGCGATGTGGCCGCGGGCGACTAGCTACGTAAAGTCACACGCGACGCAGGATGACGAAGTACCGTCAAAATAAATGGGGTGATGGTCAGGCGGAGATTTGGAGAGAGGGGGTGCGTTTGGGCAAAAAGTAAGGGTCCCGAGCCAAGCAAGAGAGCATTACACAGCCAAAGAAAGTCAAATATAGAATAGGATAAGAGGGAGACAGATGATTTTCATCAAGTGTTTTCCGAGAAGCTAGGTTTAAATAGTATTTGGGGATCAAATAGAAGTACGAAATAGAGAAAAGAAGACCAAGTCGAATAATAGGGACATCCAATATGTAATGCCAAGTGGTATTTGATTTGTACGCATACGGAGTACGTACTAGTACTAATACGTACTAGATTGGATCATCTAATGCGGGATGGATCGACACATGGGTTACTATTTACGTACAATATACGGAGTACGAAGTACTCCAACCACTATTAATACATATCGTACATATAGTAGGTATAACATGAACAAAAATATATCTGTCAAATATTGTATGCAGACTCGGTCCAATTGGAAAATAAAAAGAAACTTCCTGTGGTTCTCGAATGTAGAACAAAAGCTTTTACTCTTATATAGGTGCCTGCAATAACCGACGTTTACATTTGAGTGACTATATTTTATTCTTACAGTGATCAAAGTTATCTTGTCACGTATTTATGGTAACTATATAGTTATGTAGGTACTTGAAGTAGGGTATCGCTTGTATATGTACATAAATGCATGCAGGTTTATGAAACAATATTCTATGCCTGTAACGCCCTCCCCAGAATGAACAATGGTCAAAAAAAGAAAGAGAAAGAGAGAGAGAGGCAAAGGGAGGACTTGAAGAACCATGACGAGAGGGGATAAGAAACCCGGTTATATAAACCCTTAAGTGAGAAGGATGTCATATCCATCACTCTGAATATGGACAGCGTCTGCGGGATTTGCGTACCGTCGGCGCACCAATTCAAAAATTATCAGACCGGCACTGGTGCTAGGTACTTGGCGAAGAGAGCTCCCAATAAACCCACGGAACAACCAGGAGCGCCAGCCCCCGGCCCGTGTAGCCTTCCGCTCGCACCTTTTGAAGGTCTCTTGATAGGCGTGGTAGTATAATCGTATCATCTTCTGTCGCGAGGGTATGAAACTGGCCTGGTGATCCAGATATTTGAGTCGACCCAGGTGAAGGTCTTGAATCCTACTTATAGGATGCTGAATTGTTTGCTGAGCGATCGATGCCACAACACCAGCCATCATCAGGAAACATGGCTCCAATGTATAGTGGGGCTTGATGAGTGGCACACCGCGATCACTAGACTCAGACGATGAAAGCATGCCCACATGATCGACCTGCAAAGAGCCATAGTACCAAGTGACGAAGGAATAGTAGGACTGTGACTTGATGTATTCGAACGAGGAGAAGAACACAGCA